ACCCGCCGCTACCGACACCTGAATCAGATGCAACTTACTCGTGCCGTAGTAACTCTTGCCCGTTACGTCCACAGCACCAGACTGCTTGGCGTAACAGGAAACATCCACTCCTATTCCAGGACATCTCCACCTCCGTTGCCCGGCCAATCGGAGTCTTGCTCACTAACCCGCACACCATCTTTAAGGTGCCGATATCAGTATCAGCGGCAGCACCGGCATTAGCGGCAGCACCGGCATCAGCGGCCTCCTTCAACTCAATAACGCTGATATAAGACGGGTTGCCTTCACAGAAGTAGGCAATCCGGGGGTTCGGCGCCGAGTACACGGCCAGGGAAGACACCCTTTCGCCGGACTCGGACAGCACCTGCGACGTCAATTCTTTTGCGGCAAGTTCCGGGGCCGTAGCAACCTTTTTCGCTGCATGTTCCTCGGTTGCCTGTTCCTCGGTTGCCTGTTCCTCGGTTGCCGAGTCCTGCTCTTGGGCGGGGTCCTCGGGGGGCGTCGGGAGGTTGGTGTAAGACAGCTGCAGGGAGGGGGTGACGTGGACAAGGCCACAGTCCCCGACGAAGGAGGCGGGGACGAGTTCTTCCTTAACCCCGACCTTCCGCGCCAACACCGGAGTCCCGCGGACCGCAACCATACGGTTCGTCTTGAACACCTGAACCGTCTGTTCGGAGAGCAGCAGGAAGTAGCTGTCGCTGGCGCTGAACTGGACCGAGGCCACAGCCGCGTCGCTCGTGGCCTCGAAAACGGGCATCAAGGCGCCCCGGTGGCCGCGTCCGTCGAGCAACCGAAACTGACGCTCATTCCAGAGCACCAGAAAACGCCCCGAATGACTCCACTGGAAATGCGAGTACCCAGCGTAGGTCTCCAGCACACTCAACTCGCGCCCGTCTTTCTCCAACCCCCACCTCGTCACACCGTCGACACCACCCGTGGCAATTTCCATACAGAAAATCTCAGGACGAGGACAATGGTTCACTCTACGTAAAAACCCCGCCTGGGGGAGGGGTTAGGGAAAAGCTTCGTTGAATCTGGAGAGTAGGGTGTCTCGTTCTGACGGGGTGAGGAAGGTGCAGTTTCCAATCCACACTCGAGTTGCCTTGTTGGTATCTTCGACGAATCGTTGGGATTCGGCGCGTTGTTGTTCCCAGAAGGCGAGGGCGTTTGGTGCTTCGTTGTTAGTGCGGAGTTTATTGCAGAAGTGGTGCAGTTCATTCACGCATCTGGTCCAGGTGGCGACGAGTGTGTCTGCGAACTGTAGGTATGTTTGGTCTTCGCGGAGTTTGAGGGGGCATTCAGCGGCGAAGCAGTCCTCGAGGACCCGTCTGAAGTGTCTGGCGCCCTTGAGTGCGATTTCCCAGCAGTCGGTGACCATGCCGACGGCCTCAGTGAGGAGGCACCAGATGCGGTAACGATCGAGTCGTACGCGGACGGGTTCCTCGGTGAAGACGTCCACTTGTTCATTACGAGTAAGAGCCTGACTGGGCAGTGGCATGTTGAGTTGGTTGTGGTAGTCTTTGAACGCCTGCAGGACGCGGGCCAGGAAGTAGTCTTTGCTGAGCGCGGTCTTGTCGCTCGTGACGGCGGCCATCATGAGTCGATGAAGCATCCAAATGGGTATCTGGTTGGCCTTGCGGCAATCCAGGAGCCGCAGGAAGCCCTCAAGGGCTCCTGACATGTCGTTAAGCTGGAAACAGACCTTGGTATAAGAATCCCAAACACGCCAGCTTTTGTGGCCCGCTTTCTTTCCTGCCATAAGCAGACAGCGCTTCGCACTCTCCCACTGCTCCAGCCGGCTGTGGATGGCCCCCATGTTAGCCCAGGCCTCATATTCGTCCTCAGTGTGAGAAACTACCTGGCTAAAAGCACCCAAGGCTTCCGGATACCGTTCTGCCTGCATCAATAAGCATCCATACGTAAACTGCGTCGCTGGCTGGTATGGCTGCACCGCCACCGACCGGCCCAGCCACTTACACGCACCTGCCGCGCCCCGACCACCCTCCCCGTCATCCAAATCGCCGATTCGCTTCATCAACAAACGACCCATCGAACGAGCAGCACGCGCGTATGTGCCGTTGCTCAACTCCCAAGACCGCAAATACCCAAACGGCTCTCCCTTAATGTCAGCTAACAAACAGTACAACACCTGACTCGACCGCCCGCAACCTGCGTGGTCGGTGTTTGTCACCTCCTGCTGTTTTTTCAATTCGGTTTCGACGACTTCCAGGGCCTCGTTGCGGCGGCCAGCAGCAATGAGGCACTCGACTACGTCGGTCCACATGTGAAGCTTGGCGTACATATCGCGCGCGGTTAAGACAGCGCCGATGGATTCGAACTCGCGACCTACCTGGCGCCGGATCTCCCACTTGTTCGGGTACGCAGTCAGCCAGAGGTAGCGCAGCCGCGCCTCCGCAGGCGGCGAGGGTTTGGCGAACTGATCTTCGAGCGAGAGCATCTGCAAACACGCTCGCTCGCGCCACTTGGACCGGCGTGCCTCCGCCAATGACCGGATCCACAGTGCGCAACCCCAGCTCGCCCAGTCCTGCGCGCCCTCCTGCTCCAGCACACTCTTCGCCAAAGCAGACACCTCACTCATGGCCAACTCGTCACTCGTGCTGCTCACTAACAACTTCTGAGCCGCCCAGGACAACAGATAAAACTGCTCGTCCAACGAACGACTCTCAACCCCCGACCCACCTTCCGTAAACACAGGCGTCTCCAACACGTCCGTGTGGGGATCGATGGCTTTTAAATCTACGACACTCACGCCCACGTCCGTCCGCTTCATGGTAAAGGAAGCCACTTCGTCCGGCCTACTTGACGCAGGCTTTCCGGCAGCCTCCCCTATTACCGCTGGGCTCTGTTCCCCTAGTACCATTGATGGCTGTGGCTGTGGCTGTTCCCCTAGTACCGCTGGTAGCTGTTCCTCGAACGGAGTTGACGCAGGGAGGGTGGGTCTGAGAGAGCTGCTCTTGCCTTGGACTTCGACGACAAGTTGCGCCACGGCGTCCTGTTGGTGTTGTCGCTTGATGCCCAGGCGGCCTGAAAAGTTGACCCTGAGTTTCCAAAAGTCACCTTCGAGAAACGTCTTGAAGGCTTCACCATGGTGGTAAAGACTCATAGCAGCGGAGATCTCGAGCAGAATATAGTCATTGAGTCTGTCGTTTACGCGCCCGATGGGCGAGTGGCTCATCGGGTACCTGAGTTCCTCGACGGGGTAAGTGAAGTCTGGCGGCAGCACGCCGTACAACTTGCACCAGTTGCCGAAGTAGAAAAAGACTTCGCGTTTGAGAGTGTTCGCTTCGTCGTGCGCAACGCCGCCCACGAAGGACCGGTGCAGCATCAACGAACTGCGAGCGTACCATAAAAGGAAGGTGTGGTAACCATAAGAACCGGTCTTGCTGTTATCATTGGCATCACCGTTGTCACAGGAAGGCATGTCGCCGTCAGTGGTTTGTTCCCATTCTAGGGTGAGGAAACGGGCGAGCAAGCGTCCAATCCGGAGGGCTTCTGGACAGTCGCAGAGGGACTCGACAACCTGGCCGTCCACGGAGAGCAGACTGAGGTCGTCGCAGCTCATGTTTGCGACGGCAGGGCCCGTCCACGTCGATTGGGCAAACAGTCGCAATCCGTAAACGGCCGCCTTGAGGAGCTGTGGTGGGTCATATGAACACAGCTTGCTGGCTAATATCTCGTACGTCGCCGTCACACTTACCCCGCTCAAGTCTCCGGCCACACTGCGCCACGTGCGTTCTACGTCCGTCCAGCGCAACACCTCGTCGCCTACCAGCCAGCCAAGTTCCTCCATCTTTTCCACCCGATATTTACCCTGGCCCGGGCCTGACTAGTCACCACCGAAATGTCCACACTCCGGTACCTATATGGGCTATATGGGCACACTACCTGGCTCTGCTGCAAAAACTCCATCATTGCAGATAGATTAACTACATCACTTCATACACTGTAACTCGGCGTTGATGCTCGAAGCATGTAATGTTAAGGTGCCCGCCTGTTGTGGCTCATGCACCTGTCGTTCTCGCCCGTCGGAAGTGATAGTTTCAATTGTCTTGTAATATGGCGCGACTGGGTCACCATTTGTGGATTAGGTGTTCTTGGACGACTTATCGGAAGCCCACCCTTGGGCTGGATACGCACCATTGATGAGGCGAAAGTGCCTGCCAAGCCGCACCATCCGTTGGCCTCTCCAGCCAACCATATCCAACAAGTATTTTCACTACGCCACGTGCTCATCGCGCGTCGTGCTCATCGCGCATCGTGCCCACAGTCCGGCCGGTTGCCAAGAAAGGAATTCACCAAAGAAAACAGCTAAACTCGTGTCCTGCCAAACCAAAGCCACCATATCGAGCCCAGTCCACGCAGTGCTGTCTCGAGCTGGTGTTGCTGGACGACTTGTTCAGTCCCACTCGGGTTCCACCCCCATGCTCGGGTCTCCCCCATGCTCTCTTGGCGTCCTTCGCGTTTGGATGCTAACGTAAAGGGAGCGTATACCTCAGACAGGGTCAGACAGACAGGGTGGGTGTAGTAAAGGGATTGATCCGTTTTTTTTTGTAAAATGAAGGTGAGGTAAGAACATTACTACCCACCACTAAGTGACCACCAGCGCCACCAGCTAATAAGCAAAAACTCACACCACAACTGCTGGGTGTCTCTCATGGTTGGAAGTGAATGTTGCAGACATTCCTGTCTTCTCCTATTTCTTCCCTCGTCACAAGTGTTCTCACCTCGGCTGGTAGAAAATCGCTCAGTCGGCTTATGATCTCGTTAACATCATCACACTGGTATATAAGGGCTGGTTGTCGGCGTGTCGAGACACAATAGCTCGGGCCGGTAACGGAGTGATACCCCTATTCCGCGACTCAGACGACGAGCTCAGCATTAGCAGGTCGTCCCCCAGCACCCAACAGGACACACCAATGGCGATCGCTACTGGATGGGTTGCTGCGGACGTGGGCTTCATCGAGGAATCGCGGTTTGCGAATACGAGAGTCATCGCAAAACAGTCTGCAAAGGATGACTGGATCGCCAAGGTCACCTCGCAGCCCTTGCCGCCGATGAGAGTCGACAATGAGGAGCACTTCGAAAACTGGGTCGACGAAGTGGCGGGCTTAGTCCATCGCGCGGCCCACAAAATCGACGAAGAGA